TTGAAACCCTCTTGAACATTCAGAAAGAGTGCATATGAAATTCTAATCACGAAAGGTGTTCCCCGACAGGATGCATACCTGGAGTTTGTTTTGTGAAGCACGTCAATTCTCTCCTGGGGAACGTCTTCGTGAGCCTCTTATGGTTTCAGGATAGTTCAAATCCTATGATGTTCCGATTCAATGCTCACCGATGATCTGACCCATGGGGCAAGTTTGTTTTCCTAAGAATCTACTTGAACATTTCGAGAGCATATGTTTGAACATTTAGAGTGCATATGAACATATATTTACGAAAGGTCGCCTCCGAGGGGATAAATCACCATGTCGAACCTTGCATTTTTGTTCCTGCCTCTCGCATTCTCTTCTCTTCCCGCTGTCCTACCTTTCGTGTCTCCCTCCTCTCAAGTTAATGGACACCCTTAACCTCTAGGGCTGTGAAGAGATACCCTGACCCCCCAAGCCTTAATAGGGTCCTGGGAAAGTCGTTGTTTGTATCGGACTGATGAGGCAATTCTGCTTAAGGGTACCTTCTTGTCATTGGACATCACTTTTCCACCCGTAATTCCTCACTTATGTGAGTCAACTATTCCACCCACCTTCCGGTGCTCTCTCGGGCGCCACCGGACGGCGGGGGCGTGACGGCCGGTGACTGAGGTGATTTTCTCCTCGTTCATCTCGGCGATCACCAACGCCATGACGCAGCTGCGGAACTTGAACAAAGACGCTCACCGCGCGAACATTGTTACATTGTTGGGCGGGTTCGGGGGGCGGGGCCGATGTGACTATACTATATACGATACTCTACCGGCCATTTTTTGGGACACCAAGTCGGTCGAGAAATGCTTGTGTATGCTACATGCATGTGACATGTGTGTATAACCTATACCCAGAAAAAGGTGGATCACTTGCAAAGAAGCCTTTTTGAGGATTCGGTTCCAGGGAAAAAAGGATCACCTTTATTTTCCATGGAACACGGCACATACCATATGCACCTGAATCTTCCAACTGTGCAGTCTGCCGAACTTGGCTGGTTTATAGATGAAGAGGCAAAAATCATCCCGACTCACCTCTTTTTAGGGGCGATGAATTGACACCCCATGGCCGGGGGATGGTATTCGTATGCATGGTTTCGTACGAGGTGAGGGGCAGGTTCAAGGACGACTTTCATGGCTAAAGCAACCCCTTTTTTCCTCAGCTCCCAGAAAACACAGGCCAAAAAGACGCCATGCCTCACCATGTTTCGCCTGCCTTTTTTAGTGTTTTTTTCGTCATGTTTGGTAATTACTCTTCATGCCTCATGATGCCTCAAGAGGCAGAGTTCAACATTTTGCGATCTCGGCTTGCCCTCGGCTTGCCTCCTCTTCATCAACTCATCCTGAACAAACAAATTGCAAACATACAGCGACGTGAAGAGGTACATGGTCCACCCATGTCCTTCACTCCTTTGGGGCCTTTGGGGTCAGGGTCCCATGCGTTCCACTGCGTTCCACTGCCACTGTGCCATGCACCAGCATTCCGCCCGTTCTTCGCGCGTTCTTCGTTGGAAACACCTGTTCACTCCATGTCGTCCGCCACGGGGGTTGCGCCGTCCGCCACCGGGGGGTTGCGACGACAGGAAAAGATCGAGCAGTTCTCCCTGTTGCGGAAGTATCTCACGCAGTGCCCATTGGCTGCACATGTTTCGTGTAGAAAGCTGCACCAGCTGCAGCTGTTATGTATAGAGGTATGGGCAAGCCATCCCTGGCCAGGGTTGAGAGCCGGGTATAGCGCAGTTTTCCCATCGTCTTGGGAATCGCATCTGAATCATCCTGGTCAAGTATGATGTTTGTGTTTGTGATCTACTCCGAAAAACCGTATTTTATATGTTTTATTTTTTTGTGAGCCTGCCTGCCCACTGATCAAACACACCATAACACACCCCAGCAACAGCTACACCTTCGACGGGCCACGTCCCATCGTCGCCGTTCGTTCCGGAGTCATTCCGGAGCTCTGCGAGGTAATGTCTCTGGAGGCCTTCTCGCACGCGTGTTGCAATCCATGAGCTCCGCGATGAACAAGAACAAGCGACGGGTGCCTCCGTCCGCAACGAAGCTTCGAGCGAAGCGTCGGACCAGTGAGCAGTTCGGGGCAGGTGTGGGAATCCTCGAGGGCTGGTGGGTGTGTGTGGGTGCGTGTGTGAAACATGTGACGTGTGAGTCGGTGTGAGTGTGAAACGGTTGGAATTGTCGGTTTAAGGGAGGGGACATTTTTGGCGAAGGCTTTTCGATCTTCTGCAGAGATGCATTTCATGAGATATTTTTTTCAGAGATGTGCTCGGAAGATGACATGCTGCCCCGTGGATGGACATTTGACCATTCTACTCTACCTGGAACTTCCAACTGTGCAGAATTGATGCCGTTTCATCTATAACATCAGGCAAAAGGCAGACATGTTGCACAGTTGGAATGAATGATCCAGGAATTTGGAGGGTGTCAGGGTGTCAGGGTGTCACTGGCATCAACTCCTTGCCCAAGATCTCACATTCAGTTGCGTTCCACATATTACAGCCAGCACACTGGTACCAGCAAAGTTACGGTAGTTCTTTTTTCCAGGCAAAAGAGGGCTATTGGAGAACAGGTGTTTGAAGGCGTCGCCCAGGAAGCTGGCGCTTGACCTGTCCTGGTCAGGTAAAAAAACCGCCTCACTGCAAAGGCCATTTGGGATGTTTAGGGCATCGTTCTTTCAAGGCTCTCCTGCTCGGTGGCTAGAGAACTGGATTTAACTTTAACATGATTTAACTCTAATTAGAGGATATTAGAGGTATCAAAAAGCATTGTCTTCAGGCGAGGTCGGCCAGTTGGCCAACAGCAAAAACTACTTTCCCGAAGATGGAAGCAGCTCTTGGTCGTCGTCCCGGGTGTGGAAGTTCGGCTACAGGTCAACCTGCAGAACCGCAAAAGCTCGGCCTTAAACACATCGCAGTAGCAGAAATCATCGCGGAGAGAGTGGAGAACTTGCAAACACCATCACTGGTGCTACCAATAGATCGCCTGCAATCGAGCACCAGTGATCACAATCGATTTGATATCAGTCGATAGGGCAAAAAACAAAAATATCAGTTGATTTATGGAAAGGTGGTTCGTGTCAAGTCTTTGGGTTAGTTGAGTTTTGAGCGAAGGCATGAAGACGAGGACACCTGAGGATGAGGAAATCCACGTACCGCCAAGAGGATCGCAAGGACATATGTTCGCCATGTTTTTTCATGTTATCTTCTGTGTGCTATATTTATCATCCATTGCAACAAATGTTCATGCATCATATATATATATATATACACATAGATGTGTTTGTATTGTAGACCACGTGGAACACATATTGAGTCTATATGGTTCACAAAGTTTTCAGAATATGTTCAAGACTTTTCTTTTCACACCGGAACTCATCCATGTGATACGTTTGTTAGCTTGGTAGGATGTCCTGCTCAATAAAAATCCATCTCCATATGTTCACTTGCTGAGAAGGTGAGCATGGAGACTGTAGGTGGATCTGTGGATCCCTAGGGTTGATGTCCTTTTGGACCCTCACGATGCGGTGGACTTCCTGGTGGAGACCCTTGGTCGAACCTCCCAAACTGCTTTTCTTTCGACACAGCGGCGTGGACTTCCTGCGCAGCGGCAGAGTTTGGCACCTCTCGAGGTCCATGAAGAAGACATCAAGGTCCTCCACTTGTTGCCCTTGAGCTTGCGACAGGACATGAACCAAGAGGCACTTTTCAGAGGATGATCTTGGGGAACCCGGGATCTATTCATTGTGTTTCTCTTTTTGGGGAGGGGAAGTCTCCTTTAGCCGCCTAGCCATCAACAGGAATCCCTCTTTAGAAGGTGGGTTCATGCTGGGTTGGTCCTCAATTCGTGATTGTCGTCCGGGGGAAAAACACACAGAAACAGGCCGAGGTTCATACTTATGATATAATAGAACCCTCCAGCACCTGGGTCATCGAAAAAGCTTAACCTCTATTTTCCAGAAAAACTGAGGGGGTCAGCCATGGTCCACGTTCTGGAAATTCCTGGACTCGGGGTCATTGTGTCATCCTTCGTGAAAAAAGTACCATGCTCCAAAAGCCTCCAAATCGTCGACTGGGACGGCATCGACGTCTCGCCCCCGGGCCGGGCTGGTGAGGCAGTGAGACGTCACTGGGATGATTGACATGCATACCCGATGCCTACTCAATGAGGTTGGTGGTCAATATCAAAGGAGTAGTGAGTATTGGGTCATAGACGGAGTTGATCATTGTCTCAAGTAGCAGGATAGTTGATCAGTACTCAATGAGGTTTTCAGGACTGGGTTTGGACCTGGGTCAGACTGGACCAGGTCAGGACAATATCTACCAGACCAGACCTCGAAACGGGTCTCCAACAGGCTTTGGCATGGCGTAGGTGGTGAACTTGTTGGAAGCATTTGGAAGCTTTATAAAGTTGATTCTGGAAGCCCCTTGTCAGTCTTGGCATGGATCAGTTGTGTTTGTGTGGTAGACACTTCCATAGCTAGAAAGGGTTCTTCGCAGGAGAAAGGAAGTCCTTTAGCTAGGGGTTGCAAGTCGTACTGAGTACGGCGGGTCCATGATGACTGAACCATCCACATTGGTGTCAGTTTGGATTCAGAGGCTTATGGGATATGTCAGGGACCTCCTGTGCAAATACGAATTTCCTGACCCTAACGATCACAGTGGGCCACGCGGAACCTCACCGAAGCAGTGATATCTTACCCTAACATCTGGACCCTTCTTCAATCGGTTTCATGGTTTTTTCTTCGGGGTACTGGAGGGCCCGTACGGATTCTTTTGAGTAAGCTCCTTTGCAGCGGACATTGGGCTGGCCTGCCTGTTTTTTTTGTTCTTAGACCGGCGCCAGGTCTACAGCCCTCATTTCGTGGTCCATCCCTTCTTTTCGGTCTGTGCCTCCTGTTTCGACACCTATGCACCTCGACGCCACGCCTCCACGAGTAAGGAAGAGGGCCTGACAGCCCGTTAGAAGTGGTGGTGGGCGGTTGTGTGGCGATAGGGCCTTAGGGTTCGTTGTTGGCGATCTGAAACTGACAAACACCTTCCAGCACCTTCTGTTCGACGTCACCTGGCTGGAAGCCCCAGCCCACTACTTGGGGATCTCCATTAAGCACCCCCTGAAGGTCCAGGTTTGCAATGTTGATCTAGCAAGTCTAGCACCGGGGGTAGTTTGGCCTTGATGCTTGGGCCACTGTCAGCTTCTGCCAGTGCCAGACCTGACATTTGGGCCATGGCTTTTGGCCCGTGTTTTACGCCTTCTCTCGATTTATAGTGAATAACATCTTGGCCACCCTGAAGACACTCCTCAATGCTCCAGTGACTCCAACGCTGCTTCAATATGTTGGCGATGAACTTGGCTTGGCTGAAGTCAACGGAGTATGTTGTATTGCTAACCCAGTTGAAGATGTCGATGTGTACATTCCCCAGGCATCCATATCATACTGTACCCTTTAATAAGTTGATTGGAGACTTTTTCTATGTAGGCTTGGATGGCCCCATCACCGTACCTCAGAAGGGTGCCAGTGGATCCCTAGGGATTGGTTCTCTCGGAACCCCACGTCCTCTCCACCTCCGCACCAGCTCCGCACGAAGCTTCGGGCGAAAACGCCTGATCGCTCCAACGCGGGTGGTGAAAACCGATCTCCGAAAAAATCCACGGAATGCCCTTGTGATATGCTTCTGTTTTGGTTCTTGGGATGGACGCCCGAGGTCCTGCAGTCTCTTGGAATGGATTATAGATCCATCTTTCCGCATTTAGACCTGCAAAGACATCTATCGACCAATCCTAAGAATCGATATTTTAGTCCCGCCGGGACATGGATTGGAGGGCAGACTCTACATGATCCCATCCCAAAAAGGCTATTCGGCTTTGTCCTCTTCCACGTTCAGTCCCCCACCCTCCAACCACCACTCAGTCCCCCACCCAGTCTCAGCGCTCGCCCCGCCCAGGTGCGGAAGCTCTACTCCGCGGGTTTGAGGACGAAGTTCGTCCCCTCGAACCAGGCCTTCGTCGCGCGCACCGCCGCGTGGGTCGCGAGGCGCGCGTTGCGGTCGGTCGACGTCTGCTGCGCTCCGAGTCTGTGGGGAGAACAGGTTCAGTACAGTGGGTCAGTGAAATACGCCCGCGGAAGATGAACATAGAACTTCTATGAACTTCTATATATAATAGAACTTGAAAAACCACTAGTCGTCTTCCAGTCTGGTCCATGTTCATTTTCCATGTTAATCTTCCCAGGTATACACCGAATATATCCGAATATACCGTCTGGCTTTGGAAGGGTTTCCCAAGTTCTCAGAAGTCTACTTAGAATAGATCTCCCATATGCATGGTAGGAACTCGCCAATCTTTCTGCTGGTTTTGTCCTGCCACAGATATTTCACCCCAGTTGCTGCGGTTGGCCAAAAAGCCACCCTGACAACTGGGACAACTAGGAGTCAGCCACTCAGCAAGAAGGTTCACCAAGGTGTGTTTGATTTTATTAGAATTGGACTTGTCTCACTGACACAGGCAGAACTGCGCGTCATAAGTCACAAGATGTCAATGTCATAGGTCCCATGAAAGATCACTTACACCCGAAGTCACTAACATGGAAGTGAACAAAAAAAACATAAAACAAAAAAAAACAATCATTCCAGCACCCTCCAACAGGCTGTAAGTTGAGGGTTGTTGGACCCTGTCTCAGGTCCAATTGGTGACCTGTTTGTCGTCGGGTCCTGGTTTGTTTGGTACTCCAAATGGTCGTCCTTGCGTGCCAAGCCTTCCACCATTCTTGCGACAGGGAGTGTCTGGTGGCCGATCGCCCCGAAGCTCCGAAGCTCGCTCGGCAGGAGATTATCACCTCTGGGGAGCAGGCCGGAGAGATCGTGCGGGCGGGTTCGGTCGCAGGGTTTCGCTGCAAGGAGGGTGAAACCGGTCTTTCCCGGCCCCAGCCGAATTGGAGGGTCCACTCCAGAGGATTCGGGGGCGAGAAGAGCTACAGCGGCCATCTCTCGTTGACATATCAGCTTCCGAAAGGTGACCAGAATGGGGCAACCCTAAATGACACTTACTTTTAGGTCTCCAGACGGTTTTTTTTGAACACCCGGGTCCTCACCTCTTTACGTATGTATAGGGTCCTGGTAAGGGCATTAGTTAGTGTTGCCTGACGGTGGAAAACTGATTTGCACGATCGGTGAAGCACGAAGAAATGCTCAGGGACCCTGGATGGCGTAGATACGAGTTCTTGAGATGTCTTTTGTTTGGTCAGGGGATCAGAGTGCAATAGATCCATGACTGGGTGGTGGTTTCAGATAATTAGTTTGATGTTCAACCTGGGATGATTGAACCCCCTGACGAATATGTTTCAAGTGAGTTCAAACCACCAACCAGAAGAGGCATTCACCGACTACCGCTGACTACGCACCCAAAGGGAGGCTGAACCAGCTCCTGCTCCCGGACCGGAGAAGCTGGGAGGAGACCCCCGAGCTATTTTGCTCAATGAGTTCTGTTTGTTCCAAGAACTCTTTTCAGTAAGGGGGCCGAGCCTGCTTGTTGGCTCGGACTTGAGTAAGACATATTTTGTTGTTTTCTGGATGACAAGGTCCATCTTCAGAAATTGCCATGATTTTCGGGTGGGAGATGGGCTCCAGGAGGTCATAGGAGGTCTATTCTATTGCTTGAGGAGCTTGGAGCTCGCTTCGAGCTGGTGCGAGGATGTTTGCACAATCAAGTGGCCGCACTCTGATAGAACCTGTATGAACCTGTCAATAATGCTAAATAATCCTTTATAACTAAGACCTCCATGTTCCACATACATGTCCGGTCACATTTAACCTTTCGACCCACCTCCCAATTGGAGAAACTCTCTTCATTGGAGACCCTCTTCACACCACCGAGAGCCCTCACCTTCTTCACCTCGGTAGGTCCAGATCTCATCCCTCGGTATGTCGGGAAGTTCACAACGCAGATGTGACACCAATCTTCCAACTCTTAGTGCCGTTCGTAAGGAGATGAAAGGCACTCTATCTAACTAGCCATGGTTGGACATCTCGTACGAAACCAGCCAACATGTCCGCCACCTCACTTGGCTAGTGTTTATAGATGAAGTTCGGCAGAGATGTCGCACTGTCGAGGTCGATCCAGGTCTATCGATGGCGACCAAGTATTTATGTTGGTCTTCCTTTTCGGCGGAATAACGAGGCCAAGGAGATGTTCTTCATCATCACTGGCAGTTGGAACCTCAGCTCTCTCTTCCTCTCTCTGAGAAAGACCGCATTGGCTCCTCACAGCACGTCGGAGCCGGAATTTGGTTGGCTTCGAACTTTCAGGTATGAGGAATATATATATATATTAGACTAGCCTATGCAGCATTATATTTGTTGGAAGAATTCCTCTATGACTTGCATACCTAAGAAGAATTCCTCTATGACTTGCATACCTAATTTAGATTATAGCATATGATAGCCCTCGGGGTCATTATAGCATCCTCCCTCCCTCCCTCCATCCATCCATCCATCGATCGATCGATCTATCGATCTATGGATCTATCTATGGATCTATCCATGGATCTATCTATCTATCTATCCATCCATCCATCCATCCATCCATCGATCTATCTATCTATCTATCTATCTATTGATCTATCTATCTATCTATCTATCCATTTATTTATCTATCTATGTATTTGTCCATTCATCTATCTATCTATCTATCTATCTATCTATTGATCTATTCATCTATCTATCTATCTATCTATTTATCTATTTATCAATTTATCTATCCACCTATCCATCTATCCATCTATCCATCTATCTATCTCTCTATCTATCTATCTATCTATGTCTATCTATGTCTATCTATGTCTATCTATGTCTATCTA